TTCAACATCCCTCTATAGAGAGCCTTAAAAAAGCTAACTACAAGGTTAGCTATAAATTCGAGCAAATTACACTGAGGCTACAGAGTGGCAAGCCAACGGCACAGGAGAAGAACCCAAGCCGAAGCCAGGTATTTCTGGAACCTCCAAGAACCCCAAGAAGGATAAAGGTCAAGTAAACACCAAAAGTATGGGTAAGAGCCAACAACTGCCAAAAATTCATCCAAACCAACATTCAGCGCTGCAAAAGTACCTGCAACGTGCTGCTCAAGGGGTTCCATAGCTCCTCCACACATATTGCGCTGATACAAGAGCCATATGTATATGGAGGTATAGTCAGAAGACTAACGAGAAATGCAGATAAGATAATTTGTTGCGGGTCATTATAGCCTCGGTCTACTTTGCCGGTGAATCGGACAATCTACCGTTAGGAGGAACGAAAGGCCTCATCAAGTACTGCAGGGAGAGGAGAAAACAACTCGTCTTGTCTATTATGCATACCATCTCGCATGGAACAGCTCAAACGCAAACAAAAGGGGTGAGCACCTTATTAAATACAAGTCTGGATATCCTCAACAGAGGTAACCCAACCGTCTTTTGTAACAAAACGACGACAAGAGGTACATCACTTTAGCGGATCACAAACAGATTCGCTTTGTCATTGTAGCAGATACGACAAAACTAATAGAATTCAGAATCCCCTCACTGATTTGTGTTCTTATTGCAGACACATCAGCAAAGAGGTTGAAAAAATATTGAAAGCAGAGGGGATCTTGAAATAGCCTTTATTCAATTAAACAATATTATACATATAAATCAAGTTGTTCAATAAAACACAAAAGAGCACGATTCAATGTGCCTTGGTATATATAACAGTCAGGTATTCCAAACTGGAACATACATGGGACCACAACAGTGATCTGAATCCATAAAAAAACCTCGCAACGTAAAAGACATACATCCGTTGACGAGTAATTTGGGTATAACCGTGCCGAAAAGACGGCGGATCACAGCCAGTTTGGGAGGCGAGTCATATATTATTAAGGCACTTAAAGGATGCCCCCAAGATAAATTGTTGAACACTCTATCAAAGTATGGATTGACGATTCAAGGATATCCAGATGACCTGTTAATCACAATCCGAAGTAAATTAATGCAGCAAGTAGAAATAGTCCGTTTCGCTTGGAAAAGGAAGCTACAACTGAAAGCACCTTCCATTGAAGGGTTAACCTCAAAACAGAGGTCAAATACTGGACAAGGCGAGGGAAAAGGCCATTATGGCTAACCAGATCTGCTGCAGGATTCTTGGACGCAACTGGCAATAATTAGACCCATGGTCGTCTATGCTTCATTGGTTTGATGGCCAAAACCGAATCACAAGACAGTGCAACAACAGTTGGTACAAATTCATCAGCTAGCATGTCCTAATATAATAGGTGCAAAGAGATCTTTTCCGACGGCTGCTCTTAAAATCCTACTTGGATTCACACCACTTCATCTGTATATACAAATAAAAGATGCAGCTTTAAGTCCCTTATCACTGAAAACATACACTTCACTCAAGTTGATGCAGAGTAACGTCAGAGGACATCTCGAAATCCTCAAGGACTATGTCTAAAGTATGGGTATCAACGGATCAAATAGCCGCATTAAGTTGCTCTTAAGCTCCACTTTTCAAGCTGAAGTTCTTGCCATAAACTTCTGCACCGTTTTTAACCTTGAAAAGGGATAGAAAGGGACTTCGATAAACATCTTTACGAGCAGTCGGGGTCCCCTAAAGGCAATTCAGGCCTACATGTGTAAATTCGCACTGGTCAAAGAATGTACCGGCAACCTGAGAAAACTCGCCAGAGGCAATAAAGTTACTCTATGGTGGGTTCCAGGTCACAAAGGCATTGACGGCAATGAAAAGGCGGAGAAGCTGGCCAAAAAGAAAGCAGCGACGACGCTTTGTATTCATATTCATATTTATTTAAATAAAGTACAGAAACGATACATTATTACGGCAAAAAAGATATTACAATAACTTGCATTTAGAAAATGAGTCGGTTAAAATCACAATATGCTAATTCCGTTGCTCAATATCCGCAATGGAATTACAATATCTTCCTTGTAACATTGTTTAGTAGTGAGTCTTTTTTGTTGTGAATATATTCAAGACAGGTAAGTATAAAACAGCATGACAAGGTGAGTATTTTTAATTTTTTGAAGTGAGTTCTGCAGCTTTCATGATTTCTTAGCCCAGCTAGTATACGAATTGCCTTTTTTGTATTATAAAAATGGTCTCCATTTCTCTTGATGCGCCCCACGCTATAATCCCATACGTCGCTATACTGTGGAAATATGCCAAGTAGACGTCTCTGATGGTAGGTTGCAACGTATAGTCTAACCAGTGATGGGCGCTAGGTAAATACTCGGCGGGTAGGTATTTCTAAAATGGGTATTTATCCGGGTATTTACCCCGGCCCAGGGTAAATACCCAAACAGTGGGTATAAAAGTGATACGAGTAAAAATATATCAGATTCCAAAAAAAAAAAGAAGATGATGGGGACGTTGAAGACGAGGAATTGTCAACAATCCAAGACGTATTATCATTAGACGAATCTGTCGTATTTAGATTAGATCAAGTTATTATGATTATTACCATCAAGCAGCCCTCTGCGTCCATTGTTGGACATAGACCTCCCGTATTCTGTTCTATTCGATTCTATTCTATGCCGTCTGAATCCAATTGTTGGTCATTCTTTAGACGTCTGCTTCGTTTGTTCGCTCGCGGTCTCCACTCAACGAACCGTTTTGTCCACTGCTCATTCTTCATTCGCGCGACATAACCAGCCCAGTTCCACTTAAGCTTTGCCACAATGTTGACCACATCATTTACGCCGGTTCATAGGTCTTCATTTCGAATGTAGTCCCTCAGAGTTAGACCCAAGGTCGACCTCTCCATCTATCTTTGCGTTACTTGGACCCTCTTGGCAGTGACTATCGTTAATGTTAACCTTTTCTCTTGAAGATGTCTCTAAGTTTCCCATACGAGTGTGATCCTTCTGTTTAGTTCGCTTGTTTGATTATCTCTCGATACACGAACCTTATAGCCCAGATGTACATAGCTGTCAACCCTCTCAAACTCATTATTCACAATGTTGATGTTAGAGTTGGGAACAAGATTGATCATAAATTTTGATTTCTCCTCATTGATATTTAGCCCGACTCTTGCACACACCTCCTTTAAGTAGTTCAGCATTAGTTTAATCTCTCCAAGGCTCTCCAATACGATATAAGAACTATATCGGCCGCGTAGCGCAAATTATGTAAGTATTTGCAATCAATGTTTATGCCTTTTTGGGTCCAATCCAGTTGTTTAAATGGACTCTGAGGACTGTGAGGAACAATTTGGGTTCAACATTGTATCGCCTTGTTTTACTCAAATCAGTACTTTACTACTTCTACTCTCTTCAGTACTTTCATGCAATTTTTCCGTCATTGTAGCATTCTTGTAGATGCTATAAATAAGTTTGGTATATCGATAATCGACTCTGCATTCTTGAAGTGCTTGCAAAACTGCCATCAACTCAATTTAAATTAAATTTTATAAATACCTCTAAATACCCATCTTGGGTAAATATACCCCCGGGTATATATCCAGGAAATTTACCCTTGAAAATAATTACCCAGGTATTTAACAACACTGGTCTTAACACAATATAAGGCATTTGATAGTCGTCCTTTTAAGTCGGATATGTGTTGGGTCCATTTAAGCGTTTCGGAGATGGTAACTCCAAGAAACTTTATGGATTTTTCGGTTATCTCATCATTTTGTTTTGCGTAAAAGGTGAGTATATTTGTTTTTTCTTTATTTAGTTTTAATTTGTTTATGGAAAACCAGTGCTCTGCCTTTTCAATGTTTCAATGTTTCACTTCTTGTAACAAAAGATGTGTCATTCGTATAAAGATCAATTAACTCTGTTATGATATTTTCTGGCAAATCATTAATATATATGAGGAATAGTAACGGTTCCAAGGTCGATCCCTGGGGTACTCCTGTTGCCACGCCTCTTCAAGTTGATTCAAGTTGACCTCGCCAAAGAACTGAATGTTTTCTTCCTTGCAAATATGATGCTCGAAACTTTAATGCATTTTCTCTTAATCCATATTTTTGTAGTTTGCCTAATAATATTGAATGGTTCACCGAATGGAAGGCTTTGGTTAGGTCACAAAATGCAATTTGAGTGAACTTTTATTGATCAAAACCGACTGGACTCCAACCCGCTTTTGGACTACGAAAATTCCACTTAAAACAGGTATTTAATAGATAGGAGGCCTCAAAGTTTTGCGCTGAAAACAACTTCCAGGGCACAGACAGGCGAAGAGTTTGATAACTCCGTCGCAAAAGAAAACCAAAGAAATTTCATGCCTCAGCAAAGGTCACACTCTTAGATTTCCTGACCGACCATACGTCCCTTAAATACCATCTATTCAACATTGGACAAGCTGATAATCAGAGACCGCTGAACATATTCTGTGGGAATGAATCACCAGAGTCTGCCTAAAACACAAAACTTTCGGAAAAGTTCGCCTGACATCTACTAAAGGAACAAGACCTTGGAGCAATACTAAGTTTCATCAAGGACCTACATTAGCCCTAAACCTTTGGAAGGCTTAAGTTACAATAGATCTCATAGGTCGCAGTGACGGGAGGGGTCGCTCTCCTCAGCCCGGTAGCAATAATAATAACATATCCAGGATAACATTATCCAAAACGTTTGGTGGTTAATGTGATGTAATTAATGGTGTTAATGTGGTTACTCATTTCTTTCCATATCATTCGAATAGCAAATCTAAACACTTCTATAAGTACGAAGATTTTAAACACTTCGTTTCCTTTTTTGACCATGTTCTAAGATCTAGTTTTTCAATCACAAAGTTGTCACAAATACGAGAAAAACTGTTTTGTTTTATAATTGACCTGTGTAATCAATATAAAGTTAAATAAAAGCAATACTTTAAAGATAACATTATAAGATTCACCCAACATCACATCTCTGCGTTGATCCGGATCTGAATTAATAAAAGGAACATCTTCGCGAGCATGAAAATAAAACTGAAATTAAAAAAATTACTTTAATTAAAGATATAATGAAGAAATATGATTTATTTACTCTTATATCATCGATTGGTTCAATTATTAATTCTCCGGGTCCCGTTTTTCGATTCGATTCCATGTCTAGGTGAGATTGAAAAGTTTTTCTTAAAAATAATGGTTATTAATAAAGAATACAAATGTATACATTTTTTACTTTGTATGCATTGAATTTAAAGAAAAGCAAACTCCGTATTCCGTGTTTAAAGGTAAAAATTTTTCGCAACAATCGAATTTTTGCCCTCTCCACAGACAATTTTTTATTAACTTTTTACAAGGTTTTCGAAACCTTTTAACCATTTCTTTAAAATTTAATCGGCGGCATTCTTCGCAATCAGCCGAGCAACTGTAACAACTTCCCGTGAAGAACACTAAGTCGGCTAAAAATTGTTGTACCGGAGAATATTCTTGAGTATCACTAAAAATTACCACAAAATACAAAGTGATTATTAGTGATGGAACGGATAGTGATTTTGAGAAAAACCGGATATCCGGCATTTTTATCCGGCCATTATGGTTATAACTTCTGGTTCATTTCTGAAGTGATATCCTATATTGCCACATTATTGCGATATTTGAATAAAAATGAAATTAATAAGAAAGCTGATAAGAATGTCAACTTATTTGGATCCAAGATACAAAATCAACTTTTTTGATGCTGATTTAACTAACGAAGCAACTCTAAAAGGATACTTTAATTAATAACTGGCGATATTTCCACAAGGATCCTTCAAGAAATGAATTTTATAGCGAATTATGAAAATTATCGATGAAAATTGCAACATCGAAAATTTTATCAAAACTTCAAATATTGTTTTCTCAAAAATTAAAAGATATTTTTCAAAACAGGTTAATTCATTGGACAGAGGACACTTTTATTAATACTTTGGGAAATTTTCATACTCATATTCCAAGAACTGGATTTTATACGAATTTCTAAAACTTAATCGGCGAAAATTGAAAATTCGAAAAAATTGTCGATCACTTCAAAAATTTATTTCTCAAGAACTGAAAGTGATTTTTGAAAACGGATTTTTGCATTAAAAAGAGGATACTATAATTAATAATTGGTGATATTTCCACAAGGATCCTTCAAGAAATTAATTTTATAGCAAATTTTCCAAGTTATCAATGAAAATTGCAACATCGAAAATTTTACCAAAACTTCAAATATTGTTTTCTAGAAAAACTAAATGTTATTTTTCAAAATGGGTTGGTTCATTGGAAAGGGGACACTTTTATTAACACTTTGGGAAATTTTTATACTCATATTCCAAGAACTGGATTTTGTACGAATTTTTAAATCTTAATCGGTGAAAATTGAAAAATTCGAAAAAATTGTCGATCATTTCAAAAAAATTTTTCTCAAGAACTAAAAGTGATTTTCGAAAACGGGTTTTTGCTAAAAAGAGGATACTTTAATTCATAATTGGTGATATTTCCACAAGGATCCTTCAAGAAATTAATTATAGCGAATTTTGCAAGTTATCGATGAAAATTGCAACATCGAAAATTTTATCAAAACTTCAAATATTGTTTTCTCAAAAACTAAAAACTATTTTTCAAAACGGGTTGGTTCATTGGAAAGAAGACACTTTTATTAACACTTTGGAAAATTTTCATATTCATATTCCAAGAAATGGATTTTATACGAATTTTTAAAACTTAATCGGCGAAAATTGAAAAATTCGAAAAAATTGTCGATCATTTCAAAAGTTTATTTCTCAAGAACTAAAAGTGATTTTTGAAAACGGCTTTTTGCATTAAAAAGAGGATACTTTAATTAATAATTGGTGATATTTCCACAACTATTCTTCACGGAATTAATTTTATAGCGAATTTTGCAAGTTATCGATGAAAATTGCAACATCGAAAATTTTATAAAAACTTCAAATATTTTTTTTCTCAAAAACTAAAAGTTATTTTTCAAAACGGGTTAGTTCATTGAAAAGAGGACACTTTTATTAACACTTTGGGAAATTTTTATACTCATATTCCAAGAACTGGATTTTATACGAATTTTTAAAACTTAAAAGGCGAAAATTGAAAAATTCGAAAAAATTGTCGATCATTTCAAAAATGTATTTCTCAAGAACTGAAAGTGGTTTTTGAAAACAGCTTTTTGCATTGAAAAGAGGATACTTTAATTCATAATTGGTGATATTTCCATAAGGATCCTTCAAGAAATTAAATTTATAGCGAATTTTGCGAGCTATCTATGAAAATTGCAACTTCGAAAATTTTATCAAACTTCAAATATTGTTTTCTCAAAAACTAAAAGTTATTTTTCAAAACGGGTTTGGTCATTGGAAAGGGGACACTTTTATTAACACTTTGGGAAATTTTCATGCTCATATTCCAAGAACTGGATTATATACGAATTTTTAAAACTTATCGTCGAAAATTGAAAAATTCGAAGAACAAGCTGAACAACAAACAAGTTGAAGAACAAGCTCCTGGCTGCGGTATCAAAGATAATTCCGCCTTGCCAATTTGGCTTCCAATCCAGAAAATCAACGTCCCAGCCACTAACTATTCTGGTTTCCAACTTCCAGGCGGCACGTTTTGTAAAACTGAAATCTGCAGCAGTGTTTCTGGACGTCCGAAAGGCCTTTGACTCCGTGTGGCACAAAGGATTGCTATTTAAACTGGATAAGCTAAAAACGCCATACTACCTTCTAACCCTGATAAACCAATTCCTGTCGAATCGCTCCTCCATCGTGAAGTTGAAAAATCACTTCTCCCACAGCTTCTCCGCTCAGCAAGGCCTTCCTCAGGGTTCGCCTATCTCTCCCTCTCTATACAATCTTTTCTGCCACGATCTTTACAACGACAACCCAGACGCCTTTAACCTCACTGCATACGCACTACTTTATGCCGACGACACAGCATTGGTCTCGCACAGTAGGGATATCACTTCCTCGGTCCGTAAGCTGCAGACGCTCATAAACGAAACGGAAAATTGGTACCGAAAATGGCGCATCCTACTCAATCCCACAAAAACACAATTTTTTGTCCCATTCCTCTCACCCCGCGCTCCCTCTCCCACAATTACAATCCAATCAACGGCAATCTCCGTCTCACCAACCTGCAAGTATCTTGGCATAATACTTGACAGAACGCTTAAGTTTTCCACTCATGCAACCAAGGTGAAGATGAAAGTAAAGACACGCGCCAAACACTTTAAATCTCTCTCGTTCAGCGGTCGCGGAATCTCTACCTCATGTGCCTCGCACATCTACAAGACCATATGCAGGCCCATCATAGAATATGGATCAATACTGCTAAGCAACGCACCAAGAAGAACGAAGTACCACCTGGAAGTAGCGGAAAGATCTGCACTGAGATCCATCACCCGAATTAGGAACCCCCGTAATCCCCTCTTTAACCCTAGCAATGATCTGCTATACCAACTTACCGATATCCCCCCTATCCATACCCGCCTTCAATCTTTGTCCGATAAATCCATCCTAAATTTTCCTACCAACGCCTTGCAACACACGCTTATATTGCCTCGATTACTCCACCCTCGCAACAATTCACCTCTTCTCTTCCAAAAATTCCTAGCCGTCAGAGAAGACTGAAACAAGCCGCCGACTACAAAAATCACGGGCAGAAAGACCTTGGTCGGTAGCCCTATTCTCACCCCTTAACTTTTTTATTTTTGTTGTATATACATGTTTGAGGCAGATGACGAATTCGGCCCGTGGCCGATTTATTTAGACATATCGGCATATGTCTAAAGCTGTTAGGTCACATGACGAAAAAATGATACAAT